TTGATGTGAGGTGCTGAAAAGAGGCAGCTGGTTTTGTTGTCATAAAAAAAGGGGAGGGGAGAGACTAGTGCCACCAGTACTCAGACAGAGCTCAGAAAAAGAATTCTGAGAAAAATTTGCTTCCCCCAAAGTGAGAATAGATTGGACTGAAGTGCCTCATGGAGGTAGAATCGAAACTAAATCCAAATCCAGCCATTTCTAAAAATCTCCAATACAGAAATGTTTAGGGAAGTCATAACACTTGTTCTGAGACAGTCATTACACTGTACACAAGAAAATGTTGGTTATTAAAGAAAAATGCAAATAAAACTTATACCAAAGAAAAAAGAAAAAAATGTTCTGAGACAGGAGAGCTCTATGTCTTTTGTGAAAAAAGGAAATAAATTATAAAGAGATGGACAGATACCCAATTTCTTGATTGATTTATATGTATAATGCATATTTACAAATAATTAAGGGAAAGTCTCCCTCAAGCCAGGTACAGCTTTTGCTGAGTACGTAGACATAGCCAGCTTGTTTTCTTGGCAACAATATGGAAGTGATATTTGTTATGATTGAAGTAGAGATACAAGACATCACACCATAGACTAAAAAGCTGGGTTCATGTCTGACTTGTCCAGTTTGCTACTCAGATACTATTCTCCTGATGGGTTCTTAAAGAACCTTACTCTCCTGTTTTAGACTTTGTTATGTTTAAACTGAATTTAGGTAAAACAGCCTTCCAGAAGATGAAGAATGGATTGTCTCCTGAAAGCTGTTCGAGTAGCAGACCTACTTGTGTCTCTAAGTATCATTTATTATTCAATATTCTAGAGATTTGTTTCTTCAGCATATTTTACTGCTGGCATTTAGAAATAAAAAGTAAAAATAAAGTCTCTTCCGAGTCAGGCTGAATCTCTACGCTATGTTCATGCTTTGTTCATGCAATTTTCTATGCAAAATATAGAAGGAATTTGTGAGGTCCTTGGTATTCTGAGCTTGGTTGTTTTCCTGCAGATATTTCATCACCAAACTAGAGAACATCATCAGTGCTAGGGAAATTGTTATTGCCTTAACCATTTGGGATGTTGTCTCAGAGGTGCTTTTCTAAAAGGCAATTGGACTTTCTTAATTTTTTTCTTTAAAAATGTTTCACTTCTCATCTAAGAAGGTTTTTTTTTAGTTTAGTTAATTTGGGATGGTTTTTCAACTTCTTTGTCTAGTTGTGAGCCTTGATCCAAATATTAAACAAATTCAACAAAATACTGCTACCAACTGGCAGTCAGGAGAGCTCAATTTCAACTGCATTACTACTCTTAGAATCTTAGGAAGAACATAGCTAGATAGCCAACATCCTGATAACCATTAGATGTCAGCAAAGGGCTATTACTTCTGTTTGCTTGTTTGGTGCTGACTTTTTATATATCTTTTTAAATCGTTGTCTATTTTGTAGTCCATATATGGTAGCTTTAATCAATCTGTATCTCTTCTAATTATGTAGAATAATGAGCAGTAATGAAATTATGGAACTTCTCAGCAATGAATTAATATGTTTGGCTACCTACAATGCCAAGAAAAACAATGTTTTCTTGCCAAATGCGAAGAATAAAGTTTCTTTTTCATATTCCATCCAGATAAAATCTATACACACGCACACACACCACACACACATTTACACACACATTTACACACACACACACACACACACACACAGAGTCAGTTATCTGGAAGTTTTAATTAATTTTAATTTTAATTAATAATTGTTATCTAATAAATTCAAACAGGTTGTTAGTTTTGAAAGCAGCCAAAACATGAAACCTTGGCATGAAATTGTAGCATAGCTTGCTCTAAATACGGCAACTAGACAAAGTCAAGCAACTTTATCCTCTGAAATTAATTAAACACACTCGCTTGTTCTGAAACCAGTTTAAACAATTTTAAACAACTTATGAGAAAGAACAAAAGGGATAACTTATTTAAATTTATTAAGGCAGATGAAACTTGCACATTTGTGTGTTACTGGAAATTAAAATTAACTTAAAATTAATCAGTAAAATTCAATTTATATAGGTATATGTGTACTTCTAGACTATTACTTAAGTAATCACAAAAAACTGAATATAGTCATTCAGTTTTTCTCAAAAGCTACAAGTAACATCCGAAAGCTGAAAAACATATGATTTAAACATATGATATCATTTAAAAAGTACCTTTGCTAGGGCCACTAAATGTGTTGGTAAATGCATATAAATCAGTAGCTGGTTACTTGAAATCTTGTGCAATTTGGCAGTCTCATGATTGGGACATTTTATTAACTTTTATTCAATCTGGGGATCCTGAAAGTATATGAAATTATATGATATCTGCTGCTATTATATCTGCTGGTTACTGGTCTCTTAATTTTATGACAGTACTCAAAACTTTTCAAAAACTACAGTAGTCAAGTCAATATTGTACTTGATGTGAGTTGTAGTCCAAAGATAACTGGGAAGTACCAGTACAGGAAAGGTTTGTTGAAGTTCCAGGATCGAACATAACTAAGATTTTGTTGCCTGTGAAAAAACACATCCCAAACCTTGCTCAGAATAATTTACATGTCTACCCATCTTTCTGAATTATATATATTCATGTATATTTTAAATGAATTGGTTTGTCACCCGATTAAGATAGACCAAACTCTACTTTTAATCGGTTTGTCACCCGATTAAGATAGACCAAACTCTCCTACTTTAAAAGTAGGAGAAACAACTATAAAGAGAGACCTTAATATCAGAATGTGATGTGATATAGTTTGATACTGTTGAAATAAGCTGGATTTTAGTGCCCTAAGTCTCCTATGCAGCATTAGAGGAGGTAAAAGTCTAACACTTCTGAAGAGCACCAGATGGATGAATATTACATCAGAACATCAGAGATGAACTAAGATATGAAGGTGAGCTTTCTCAGTCATCATTGCTATGATTACAAAATGGGAGCAGCTGTAAAAATTTTGGAGGAAGATGAAGTATAAATAAATAAATAAGTCAAAAATAATTTGGTGAGAGGTTGCAAACTAAAATTATTAACACAATAAATCAGTGTTCTAATTTATTCCATCTGGTTAGAATAAAGGTACAGTTCTATTTGAAGATGCCCCATTGCAGGTGGTTTCACATTGGGAATCATCCATAAATCATTATGTGACAAGGGCAGAATGCCACATAGGTTAGAATGAGGGCAAGCTGTGATGAGGAAGTTTAAAAGTGTGACATATTTTATAGATGGTTTGCAAGCCACTTGAAAAATCATTTTTCTGTCACCACTTCAGGCTGATTTCCATTACTTTGGTAAAGAAGCTTTTGTTCAGAATAGTAAAAGCACCCTGATTTTTTTTTTTTTTTTTGGCTGGAAGCAAAATTGCAGCAAGCACTCAAATGAAATGCACATGGTAGCAAATACCAGCTTTATTTTTGTATTACAGAAGCTAAGAGGTATCAAATTCTGGGGTGGGAGTGGGTGGGATGGGACAGGCAGACAGGTAGTAAAGTTAGTCGGCTAGTACAAACTCATTTAGGCAGATTGCACTGGCTGTATTCACACAATATGCTGAACCATAAATTAATCCCAGAAATTGGGTACATATTATAAACTGGTTGAATCATCTATGATATATATCAAGCAATCACTTTCTGGCACTTAATGTCCAGATGAAGTAGTACTTAATACCTGAGTACTGAAGACAAATGAGTCAATGAATTGGGTAGAACAAACTTTGGAATAAACATGATTAAAATCATGAGAATTTGGTGTGTTTGCTTAAAACTGAGACATTCAGTGACCTTTAATTACTGATAAAAGGAATTAGGATTGAGAGCCAAGTATATAAGGATTAAAAAGGCAGGCTCCAAATGCTCTTGCTAGGGCAGAAAACCTCAGAGCACCTCTTCTTGAGGGGAAAATGCAATCCTCATAAATTAAAAAAAATGAGGTTTTTTTTTTTTTTTTTTGCACTATCATGAAAATCAAAAGCAGAAGCTTGGAGCCTCCTCTTAGCCAAAGAGAGGGCTAGCACTTAAAATGAATAAGATAGAAAAGGTTATCAATGAGGTCAATGGCATGTCTCTGACAGTTCAGGGCAAGTCTAAATGTATACAACAATCTTCCTGAAGAGGTCTATTGGTTTTGTTTGCATTAATCCTATGGACTGCATTTCAAGGTGAAGGGTCCCAGTTCTATATCATGTAAGAGCAATAATCTTTAAACATTAGAGGAGAATTGTCATTTATTCTATTTATTACATTTCTGTCCATTTGACCCCTGTGTTTATATTCCCTGAGTGCCACACAGAGATAACATTTCCTGTATATTCTGAAGTCAGAGGACTACAAGAAAAGTTTGCGTCAGAATAAATTTCATTAGTTTTCCATTTAGATTCCAAAGAATGAGATTTGGTACATGTTTATTTTCAAACTAGAGGTTTCAGAAAGTTTATTTTCCATACCATTTGGCATTTACAACCCACTAGTGTCAGGACCACTCAATGCCTAGGAACAGGCAGAAGAGGCATCTCACTTGGACCTCAAAGTATTTTTAAAAAGTTAAATATAGACCCTTTTAAAATAAATGCTCCAAGTATTCTCATTCTGGATGTGCCTTATTTTGTTTTAATGCATCCTCCTCTTCCTTTTGATGTTGGTGGTGAAGAACAAAGAGGAAGGGGAGATGGCTAGGGCCTCTTTGGATTTCTATAGCAAAGATTGTTCCCTACGATTTTCCCGCCCTGAGTGCTACCTCTGCGTAGGGAAAAGAAGGGGGGGAGCCCCGGGGCATGGACTACAGAGGGACGAGCTTGAACCTGATCGCCTCGGGTCTCTTCTCGGAAACCCCAGTCTGAAGGGGGGAGTTCCGGGTTTAGGGCTGGAAACGGGCCTGATGAACTGCTTGCCCCAGGAGGAAGCCGGTCTCCATTGCAGAAGGCAGGGGACTAGTCCTCATCAATCCCTACCGCTCTCGGCTCTCTTCTCTTCCCCCCTCCACGCCCCGCTATTGAAGTGGGTCGAGCAACGACCCCAAACCTTGAAGACGCCGGTGGGGCGTGTGTCAGGTATGGGCTTCGGCGAAGGAAGGGGGGCGACGGCGGAGAAGCCTTTTCAGAGAGTGACAGCGGCAAGACAAACCCCGGGCCAGGAGGCGGTAAAGACTCAGCCAGGTAAGGAAGAAGCGGGCAGGCTAGGCAGAGGCTAGGAAGGAAGAAGAGAAAGTGGGGCTTTCTCGCCGTCCACCTCCACGCCCGCCTGTCCGTCGCTCTCGTCGTTTTCTGCACGTTTGCTCTCTCCACCTCAGCGCCATCAGCCAACCTTCCGCCCGCCCCCTTCGGCGTTTCTTCTCTATTCGATGCCTCCCGCTCGATCCTTCTTTCCCCATCTCCGGCACCTCCAAACCAGTTCCGCCGGTCCTTCTCCATCGGGGTCTTTCCCATTCCCCCACGCGCAGCGGCGTCGCTTCATTCTCTTCTCTCCCTCCCGCACTCCCCCACCTCCAACTGGGGAGTGGAGCCTCCGCCGACTCTCGCCTCCACACCCTCCTGCCTCAAACTCCAGCAGCTTTTAGTGTGCTCGCCTGAACTGCAAAGCAGGGAATGGGATCCCGACGGTGCCGAGCTCCTCTTGATGTTTGGAAGCCCGAAGAAGGCGTCCGGGGCACTTTAAAGGTAGGAGGCGAGTCGCGGCGGAGAGGAACTCTCGAAACCCGTCTCCCTCGACTAGGTGCCCTCCACCTGGGTGGGATTCCTAGCTAGAAAACTGATTGAAAGATTAAGGCAGTTGTCGCCCAACCTCCAGGGGGCATTAAGTTGAGGAAGACGGGTGCTCTCCGGCCAAAAATCCCATTTTCTATTTAGGGCATCAGGAGCTGTACCCCCATCTAATAGCGACTTCCCTGTAAAGCATACTAATAAGTGATTAGGTGCTACTTTTCTTCTCCCCAATATTCTCTGCTGGGAGGCTGTCCTGCTTTCCTCTCTCAGAAACCTATCTTAGTTCTCTTACTTCCAGGTAAATGGGTGGCAAGCTGAGAGGGAAAGGATATAGCCATAATCAATATGCCATCTTACACATTCCCACATTTGTCTATGAGCAGGACTAGATGGAAACCAGCTGGAGAGACGAACAGAAAAGCGGAAATATCCCTGCCTGCTTTGGATTACCTGCTGGTGATGGAAAGCAGGATCTCTGGGTGCCTTGCAATGAGAGCAATTTAATACTTAGGGAAAACAGGGATGCTTCCCTACTACAACATCTCCTCCCTTTGCTTTGACTCAAGCCATGCTAGCAATGCACATGCTTTCGATAATGTTAATGAGAAAGGTGGATGAGAATTTTGACCTCTATAGGATGAGAAACAAAGACAATCTTGTACTTAAATCACTACAATTGCTAGACTGGAAGTGGGGTTACAGATAGGTTGGATATGATAGGTTAGAAGCCCATTTTCTCCAGTGTAGAGAAATAATTTTAATTTTCCAATTCTAATTAACTAGCAGAACTAATTCTCATATTGTCTGGAAACTTCGGGTATTATATGGTGATGCATCTGAAAAACACCAGTGAGGAACAGAAAGCAAATAGGTGAAATTCTTATGAGTTTGATGAAGGGGGATAGGCCTGGGTGCTCATTTAATCATTCATTCAATTTCTATAGATACCTAACTCAATCAAGTGACTCTGGGCAGCTTACAATTCTAAAACTATAAAAAAATAAAAACAATAAAAAGATACAAAAAAATTCATTGGGGTGACCTTCTTCCAAATAAGCTTATTACTTGGGAAACAAGTATATGGGGAGATAAATCCATCCACATTCCCCATCTTCTAATTTGGATGGGCAAGAATATTGTTTCATTGAAACACATTAAGTGAAGGTGAAACAATTTCTTAGCAATGCTGGTGGGACATAAGATTCAAGAGTATTTTATAGTTAAGACATTAGTCAGTAGCAGTGAAATACATTTATACTGTAATAAAATACATTTATACAAATTGTAGATAGCATATTAATTATTAAGAATATGTGATCAGGCCTGGAAGAGATATTACAATCTATCTATTACATATTCAGAACAGGTCAGCTGGTGACTTTTCCTTTAATGTACATATACATTTGTGCTTCTGAGATATGTATTCATCATTGGAATGTATAAATAGTGCTAGAAAGATAGATGGGAATAACTGGGTAAGGCTGAAACAAAAGTTTTCCCATTTTCTATTTAGGGCATCAGGAGCTGTACCCCCATCTAATAGCGACTTCCCTGTAAAGCATACTAATAAGTGATTAGGTGCTACTTTTCTTCTCCCCAATATTCTCTGCTGGGAGGCTGTCCTGCTTTCCTCTCTCAGAAACCTATCTTAGTTCTCTTACTTCCAGGTAAATGGGTGGTAAGTGTTGATATGGTTCTTTCATGTTCTTCCTAATTTGTGCTCCCAGATTTAGATTACTGCTTAAATGGAATCCTAAGGAAAAAATAACTCCTAGATTCCCTATCCCTGCTGGTCTTCTCAATAAACTCAAATTTTCAATCTTCAATTAATCTTAATTATTCTTAGAAACCCAACTGTGTGACTAAGAATGCTTGCTGGGTCTATTTAGAATGTCTACCTGTTAGAATCAGAGAATGTTGCAAACAATGTAGAATTCAAGAATACTTTGTGCATATTTAGACTTTAGACTTTCAATATCCAAATTGAACTGAGGTCACCATTACTTTCGCCTAAGGCCCATTATTAGCCACCCATTTTTTTCTTCATTTCTGCCACTTAATTAAGGTAAAGAAAAAAAAATTCAATGTTCTTATCATGAAGCCCGTAGAACCCCAGAAGCCCTTTTTTGCTGATCTGATTTACCCTGAAACCAGATATCCACTAGCAGTTACTTGGGGTCAACTTTCAGTGCAGTTCTTGGATCCTGTGTATCCAGATTGCATCTTAGCCCTAACTGCTCAAAGATTTTTGAGATGTGTAATCCACAGGTTTGGACTCTTTCTTTAAGTGACTCCTTATGTCCCAAAGTCATTCTCAGCTTCAAAGCAGTCTAAATTCTGACCCTGAATCCTCTAGGAGTCCCCAGGATCTGCATGCAGAACTATTTGACTGGTGTATCTCAAGGGTTACTACAAAAGGGGAAGCCAGAGCATTCCTGTGTAGCAGGGGTGTCAAACACAAGGCCTGCAGGCCATATCCAACCTGTGGAGTGTTTAGATCTGACCTGTGGTGCCTCTGCCAGCTGAGCTGTTTTCAGTTGCAACGGCCTCCTGCTAAGCTCCATTTTCACTGGCAAAGCCTACCACAGGCACACCCCACATGAGTGATGTTGAGCGGCCATGCCCCCACTGGCCATGCACCCATGCCTCCCCAAGATCAAACACAACCCTGATGCGGTCCGCAATGAAATCGAATTTGACATTTCTGCTGTACAGAATTAAATGGGAGTTGATATTACCTCATTTTGGTATCTCAGATTTTTTGGCTCATGCCTGAAAGTCAGGTAAGGCTATGTTGTCATATAAAGGGGAAAAGAGATTTGTAGATAAAACCAGGATGGAGATTTGAAAAGGACTATCAACAAGCTATGGTGAAAAAAATCGAAGGGTTGACAACAATAGTGTGATTGTAATTGTTTTTGTATACACCATGATGCAGATTAAAAGGTGGATTTCGATCCCATCATTATGGCCAATTCTTGACATTTTAAAGCAAATCTTGTAAAGCCCCACAAGATATGGTTAAAAATAGGATAGGATAAATAGATCCTATGAAGAGATTATCTGAGTTCTAAATCAATTTATGCAAATAATTATTTGCATAAAAACCTAAATGGTCCAAATGTCTCAAGTGATCATATCAGGCATATAGCGGTAATTTAAATATTTAAAATTTCAACTTCCTTTTAAGCAAAGGTTAGTTTGGTTTACCCACCATGCCAAGTCAAGACTCAACTGTAATTTAATGAATAAAACATTATTGGCTGGGATGAAAGACTACATTAACCATGATTGCAAATCATAAGGCAAGACACTAAGCCAAAACAAATCAAACCATATGGAGACTTAAGATCAGGATGCGAACTCCACTGATGTTAATGTGTACATGGGAAGCCAGTGATGAGTCTCCTACTATATTTTGGAGTTAAAAAGCACTGAATGCTCATCTCATTTAAACCAATAGCAGGATCTTGATTGTTATTATACAGAGTTCTATGCTTCCTTCAGGCAGAAACTCATATAGGCTAAAGAGGTGGTGTGCTGAACAGCAGGGTTTTTTTCTCTCTCTCCCGCAAATGAATAGCTGATTTTGCCACCAAAGCTGGCTACCAAAGGACAACCTCCCTCCCCCCAAAAAGAAAGAAACTCACATCTAAGATGCGATTCTTGCCAAAGTATCTAAAAAAGCCAAGATCCCTCCCTGTCATATTACCAGACAGGAAAAAAGAGGAAAGAAAGAATGAATGGCATACCAAAACTTTCGCTATAGAACTTCAAGCCAGAACTGTGGACATCTTTGACATAGCTAAGGCTCTTTCCTTGTTGAGTGGTATTACACGTTGTGGTAGAACACGTTGGAGCTTGCCCAGCACTAAGCTACACATACCTCCTTGAAGCAGGGGCTGGTTCCCCTGCCTTAAGTGCCTGCAGCTTCACATCACAGCCCCCTCTCTTTCCCATGGGAGGGAGCAAGGTCATGAGCGTTGGGCATTGTGGGAAAAATGTGTATGCAAATAGCCTAAGGGTCAGGCTTAACATTGTTTGCTTAGCCACTAGGCACCACTCCTCTTTCACAAAACTGAAGAGTCCAAGTCTCACCCTTTTGTAAGTCAGAGAACAACATATTCTGGGGGCTTTCCCAGACTCTTTGTTAATAGGGAAAGCAAGGAAAGCAAAAATTGAAATTTCGTCCTTTTCTCTCTTTGCCTTACCTATTAGAGCTTTTTTGCTACTTTTCTACAGTGACCTCTTTTTATTTTTTCAGTATCCTGTCCTCCTTTAAGCACAGTAGGAATATGGACTGCTCATTACCAGCCTTTTGGTTCACTCTTCTTCCCATTAGTTCACACTCTTTCTGGGAGTCCAGATTTAGCAAATTAGGTAGAGAGACAGACATGTACTTGCATATGTTCTAAAACAAACTTTTTTCTTATATGGTATTACATTCTCTTTATTCTGCTCTCCTTTTCTCTCCCTGCCATTCAGATGGAATAAGGGAACTTGATTCTCTGTATCCACACACTCATTCCCTCCCATCCTATTTCTCCCCCCCTCCAGCATTAGCGAGGATGCACATTGCTTGGGCTTAGTTTAGCCTAGGCTAGTGGGGGGGGGGAGAGAAGAAAGGGAGGGGAGGTAGACCCAGTGTCAGTTTCAAAGGCAGGAGGGATTAGCTACCCTCCAAACCCATCCCCCTGTGGTAGTTCTCTCCAGATGTTACTACATCTGGATCCCATTCCTGTGGCTCCCGTCAGCAGCTGTAGAATTTTCAGGCATCACCAGCTGCCCTTGGGATCAGTGGGTAAAAAAGATGCTTTATCAGTCCCCTTTTCCAGAGGCCAGGGGCAGGTGCCACAGGAGGGGATGCTTTTAGGCAGAGTCACTACCTTCATGGCTTGTTTAGCTTCTTGACCTGTGACTTTAAGAGAATATTCTTAACCTGTGGCACAAGAAAGATTTTTCAAAGAATCTATTCTCTCTGCCGCATCTTTCTTCTCACTAGTGCTCTCCCAGTTTTGCTCATCTTTAATGTCCTGTTGACTAGGTATATTGAGAGTTAAGTAGTACCAATTGGGGGATTAAGGGTAAATCCCCTGGATGCTTTTTCACACTGGAGGAGGGGGAGAACCTTTTAAAGTTTGAGTGTAACACCCAGCATCCCTGCCAGAATACTAAAAGCCTCTTTTGGCTGGTGTGGGGGAGGGGCACACATGATGCTGGAATTGTAATCTAACGTATTTGGAGGCTGGCCATTTAGTGAGACTGTTATTAAAAATAATTGGGTAGTGCAGAGGAGTCTCCAAGAGCCAGTTTGATGTAATGGTTAAGACATCAGACTAGAAACTGGGAGAGCATGAGTTCTTGTTATGTTTTAGGCATAAAGGCAGCTGGATGCCTTTGGACTAGTCACTTTCTCTCACTCCTAAGAAGAAAGCAATGGCAAACTACTCCCCCCAAAAATTAACAAGAAAACTTGAGGGACTTTTCCAGGCAGTTAGCAGGAGTCAACGTTTACTCAAAAGCACATACACACAAGAGACTCAGTGAGGAATATTTTTATAGCAGTTGTACGAATGTCCAGTCAGTGCCAGAAATCCAACTTGTAAAAGGCAGTTTCTTTAAATATTTGCAGCATATTTCTCAGCACCTTTTGAGCATTTCCATTTGTCTTGGCCCATTGTCTCAGATGTGATTGTGGAATGTATTCTAACTGAAAAACATATATTTCTGTCCCCTTTGGCTTTTCCAGATGCAGCAATTGCAACTTTCATGCTTTGGGCTGGAAAGCAGTGGTTTTATAAAAGATGATAGTTGAAAAAGATAACATTACTTCAGGATTTCAGTGGGAACAAATATAGCCAGGTTTAACCTGGATCTAAATTGTAGTCATTTAAGTCTGGGACATGGTTTTGTATGAGCAATTTTAAAATAGCATGTTCCAGTTAGGAGCTCGCATACCAGTAGCATTCAATGTAAAAGAATGTAATTTACATTAATTTTCATATGTATTCAAGCTATAGGACCAACCTCAATCTGTCCAACCTACTGAGATATATGTCAGTCAGATTTTATAAGTATATAGTTTTTCTAGCCTGCTACGTTTTGTAGAATATTAGAAACCTTTAGGATTTTTTCAGTCTTAGCAACTTTTACAAGTTGATGTACTCTAGCTGTTGGTATATATATATCTCTCTCTCCTGTACGCCCCTCCCTCCTTTCCTCATTTGGGAAATAGAAATTGCAATCCAACATATCTAGATGGCAAATGATTACAGGAGACTTTGTTGGAACACTAGAACTGGCCGGATGATAGTTTAATGTTCTCTTCATTAAGAGGGTGTTGTTTCCCTCTTTTGCCAGATCCTATGAGTGACATCAAATTCTCAGCCAAATCCATATTCTTCCACATCTTTCTATTACCATCCCTTATCAACAGTGAGACAATTTTTGTACCTCTGGGTGAGGGACCATTCTCTTTGCTATCTCAGCAGAAGCAAGGATGCAGCATGAGATTTGATGGGACCTGAGAAGTCCCGTCTTTCAGACACATGTACAGCAAAGAATCACAAGTGCCTGTGAGACACGACAACAAAAAGACTGCCATTGCAACACAGGCTGGCTTGCATCACCAAATATCCAAGCAAGACCCCACTCTGGAGGGTCATGAATAAAGCCCAGGATCTGCTTGACTGTGGCCGAAGGAAGGCTTGAACCACAGGTAATCCTCCCACCTACTTTTGTCTATGTGCTTTTATTGCAGCTTTCCTAAACCAAGCTGGATTCCTTTCCTTTTGGAGGGAAGCATATATAGTATTTATTAGAATTGCACACACATTGAAAATGATGTACATTTTCATCATGCAGAATGGCTTCAGATCCCACATGAGCACAGTACCTCTCATGAAAGCATGTAGGAGTTTTTTTTTTTAACCTGAATTTAAAAAGTTTAACAAACAAAATTGTTCAAGGGTACATCTTTAACTTTTAAAGCTTCTTTAATGAATAACAAAGAGATGTACTTATATGAGGTCTGAAGATTTCTGAATCATTTCTAAAGTATACAGTGTTTATTATAATTATGCTAATGAAAAAGAATTTGTGAGATGAAAAACTACTGATGGACTTTTTTATGGGAACGTGAGAAACATAAGTTTACTGGTATCTGGCATAGACTGAGATTTATACAAGTGAGACTGGCTTTAATCTGTTTTATTTCAGCATTTAATACTTCTAGCACTTCATACCTGGTTACTGACAACTACGAACTGGAAATACTGAGCTGTGTTTAGCTCAATATTAGCTAATTGTCTGCTAATCTTGTGGTTCCTTTGCTGATAACATCAGATTCTTTTATAAACTGAGTCCAGTCTGTACATCCTTACTGAGTCTCCTGTCTGAACATCGGGGTCCTTGCTGGAAAACATGATATACTGAAAGTTCCACTGTTTTCAGGAATTTTACATAAGAAGAAAAGCAAATATGTCAGCTGGTATGCCTCTGAATGAACTACCCATGCTTATTTTTGCCTGCAGTGAGATACTTTGATGGTATATCTGAGAAACTGCATTCTGGGAAGAATTAAGATGGCTGCTGCAATTGTACCACATGAGATCCTTTTAGATAAGAATTTTCTCAATCTTAAAATGGAATTGGCTCAGCTAGAAAAGTGGAGGATGGTGAAAAAGGAGAAAAAAGGAGCTGAGAGCTGATGATCAATATCAATTTATTGTTGCTTTCTTTTTTCTGCATAGGTCCCCGCTGTGCAGAGTGATGCTTATTCTGTTCCATGCCATGGTCACCCCATTGCTCTGTGTCATCCAGGCTGCCCCCCTTCCCAACACCTATATCCTCCTTAACACCACTGATACTCTATGGGCTGAGACTCCCCTGAGGGATTGGGACCTCTTCTCTCCACGTGTCACTCTATCTAACCAAGCTCCTGAAGAGCCCCCCATGCTTTTCCTCATGGAGGACTCCAATACCCTACCTGGACACGCTGCTAATAGAACATTCAAGTCCAAACGGTCATTGGAAGGGTCCCTACGCCGGGGAGAAATGTCTGTATGTGACAGTGTTAACGTGTGGGTGACAGACAAACGGACAGCTGTGGACATCCGTGGCAAAACGGTGACAGTGCTGTCTGAGGTCCAGACGCTTACAGGTCCCCTCAGGCAGTATTTCTTTGAGACCAAGTGTAATCCAGCTGGCGGAACTGTGGGTGGCTGCCGGGGTGTTGATCGACGCCATTGGATCTCTGAGTGCAAAGCTAAACAGTCTTACGTGAGGGCTTTGACTATGGATTCTGACAAGATTGTTGGTTGGCGCTGGATCCGGATTGATACTTCCTGTGTCTGCACCCTACTCACACGCACTGGTCGAACGTAGGAAAGAAAAGGGCATAGATCATGAACTCATTTTGACCAATCAAAGCACGGCCAGCTGTCTAATATGTTCAATCATCAATTGGAATAATTCTTAAATTTAACTCAGCTTTCATTGGCCAAAGTGTGTGTGTGTGTGTTTTGTGTGTGTGTGTGTATGTGTGTTTGCACGTACATATGCCTGTGTTGAAAAAAGAAGAAGGTGGTCTCTAGTGATTAACAGTTTCTGGGCTACACTGCTGATTCCATTTGTGCTGCAGCAAAATCAGAGGGAAGTACGCCATTATGGCTATAAGTTCTGGCATTTGCTGCCTTAGTGGAAGCATGGTTTCTCTTGTTCACAGGGCCGGAAGAGGAACTTAAAATCCTACTTGTGGAAAGTTAGGTACTGTTATGGCTGGAGGATTCCATTATCCATGCAAATTGGTGGGTAGTTCAAAAGAGATTAGTGGGTCTTTTGCAATCAAAGAGGATCTCAGTGATTACTACTTGTGATCCAGCCATGAATATCAAGGTCCTTTTTTTCTACAATCCTCAGGAACCTTGCAAACCACAAGGGCCTCCCCTCCCCCCATGCTTTTCCTTCTGTGCACTCTCAGGGTTTTTCAAAATGTCTACCCTCCGGGAACATTTCCCATTTCCACACATCTGCCAAGGATTCCCTGCACATGATTAAAAAGTTTTTAGGGCATGTTTGAAAGTGCATTGTCTGTACATGTGTGGCCAGCAGCCACACCTGCTGAGCCTCACCTCCATTCAGCTAAGAACTTTAGAGAATGCATTGGAAGGGAAATTAAGACGTGGGAGGTTTGTCCACTTTTACCAAGCTATGTCTTGAAAAAACATCTGATTCACGACTGAAAGTCATTGGAATAGTTTTGAAAAGCAGTCTCTTAGGCAGAAAATATTTACTTCCGGAATTTCCCCTCTCCCCCCCCTTTACCCCGCTCTTCCTATTTATTGCCGCATCTCCATTTAAGAGTTTGTCTGTGACACAATCCTTCATATTATTAACTTATTTGTGCGCATTTATTCTGTGGGAAATCATTTCTAGGAGAGTGTGTATGTGTGTGCGTGTGTGTGTGCGTGCTGGCTGGAGGGATTAAAAACAAAGTTCTCAACTCCCTTTCCATTGTCATGAATATTTACTTTTGGGAGCTGGAGGGGGGGGGGAGAGAGGAAGCCAGTAGTCAAGAAAGCAAAACTTGGTTATTAATACATTTGAAGTGTCCACAGGCTTTCCACCTGAGTCACTGTTTAGATTGCTCTGTGACTTTCAATGCCACCTGGAGGCTGAAAATAACATTGCAGAGTCCTAATGGGAGTTGAGTCTTCATGATCACCATTCAAGGAATTTTCTTAGAAACAGTACAGAATCAATTTGCCATTGCCACTTTCTGAAATAGCTTTCAACTTTTAAATCTAACCCATGTTTCTCAACTTCAGTGACTTTCAGATGTATGGACCAACTCCTAGGTTGGGGAATTCTGGGAGTTGAAGTCCACACATCTGAAAGTCACTGAGATTGAGAAACACTGCCCTTGGATTTCTTGAAGTTTCCCATCAAAGTACTAGTCAGACTCAACCCTATTTAGCTTCTGAAACTAGAGATCAACCAGATGCTTCCCTCAAAGGTAAACAACCTTCCTCTGTACAGGTGCTATATTTAACATTCTTGGGAGTGAGGGAGGCTGAGAGCTGCACACATTCTGTCAGAACTATCAATTTTCAGTAATCATTGTCAGATGAAGTACAAAAAACATATAATTTAGATGTTGCTGCCCACTCTGGTTTAGGTATGGATATTTTTAGTATACATGCATGCTGTGGGCTAAAACCAACATTACCAAACTTAAGAGAAATCATGTATGAATTTATGTCCAGTATTAATCTGACTAGATTCTACAGCAACAGATTATTGTTTAATCTCACCAAATTATTATAGGATCCTACTTTGAAGAATTGTTGAAGCTATCAAAGGAAACACTTCAACAAATACAAAGCGCTAAACATCATAGTACCCTACTGAGACACTGGAGATTCTGACCTTTTGTTTGTATCAAATGAACAGAAAAACTTAATGCAAGTGTCAACTATGACCCCTTCAATGTCTTTTGGGTTTAAAAGCTGATAGAATAGGAAAGAACAGTGAGAAGAAGAGGATACAGCTTAATGGACAAAACTGGAGGAAAGTATAGCCTAATGACTGAAGGTAAATATGTATATTAATGTTAAAAAGGATCTCAGGGTACAGAATTGGTGGTACTGTAGACATGATTTAGAAAGGCTTAATAAAAATTCCTTTCTTAATACTACTGAGGATAAGTGTGGATCATTATATATGTTATATAGTCAGAATAGCATCTCCCATGAAGAAGCAGCAACTCAGTTTTGACAAGCTCAGCAAATATCCCAAATTTTGCAAACACTGTTGAGGAAAAAAAAACTTAAAAGGGAAAGAAAAACACCCAGTAAGATGAAGGCATCTCAGGAAAAAAAATGAAATGAACTCATTTAAGAAAGACAAGTCTGGTTCTAACAGGATAGATGTTTGCTCCACATCTTTGTAATCAGGTTTCCTTTTATTATAAATTTGAAGTACCCCAAAATGGAGCACTAGGCACTCACTTTGGAGTTATAAGAATGATTGCTTACGTGGTAACAAACTTGATATAGGTAGTCGCTGACCAACATGCAACTTGCTCATTACAATTGTAAATCATGATGGTTGTAAAGTGGATCACCACTTGACTGGACCCATTTTTATGAACAGTATTAAGTAACTCCATTATTTGCTATGATCTGCTTTTGCAGAAAAGTGGAAGTAACTTAGAGTTTTCAGTCTTGGTTTGTGATCATATGACTGCAAGATGCTGCAAATAGCTATAAATGTGGGTCAGTCCCCAACACTTGAAATGCAGTCACATGACCATGTGGAGGGGGTAACTGTCAGAACTTTGGAACCAGGTTATTAGTATGGTTTGGGTGGTCCCATGTAGCTTTCAATGGCTGCTAAGTGACTGGTTGTAAGTTGAAGATTACTGTACTCTGCCAAATAACTACAAAACTACCATTTTTTTGACCCAAAATCTTTTCAAGCAGTTACATATATTTGCTCCTTAAATAACATTTTCATATAGAAAGGTGAATAATTGGATTTTAGTTGGCTTTTTTCCCAATACTATGCAGACTAGAATAAGAAATTTATTTTTGGGAAAATCTGGGCAGTCAAAATTGTTTTATGATGAATTAGACCCAAAAAGCTTCATTTGGTGCAACTATCTAACTCCATTTTTGCCTACTCAGTTCCCCAGCATTGTTCAATTTATTTACCAGCTTAACCATGGCAATTTTATCCTTATAGGGTCCTAAACAGTTGCTCCTATCAATATGCGCAACCTCCCCACTTTTCAGTATTGCTGGATATCATGAAGTGATTTCTTACATCCTCATTTCAGTCAGACATTATTTGCCCCCATTATTGGTACTTTAAGCACCTCAAGGTTGCTGCTGCTATCTCCTTGACCAGGTTGCTCGTGATGTGTGCGGGAGGCAAAGTGTGTGGGTCAGAGGAAGGCCCACTCCCCCTCCTTGCGAGGAGACCTAACTTTGTAACCAAAGCATCCTCAGCTATAGGATGGAAGACCATCAGGAGAGGAGGTGGCAAAGGGATAGCGAAAGAGCAGCAGGGCTGCTGATGGCCAAGTACTAAGGTAGGACTTCCCTCGGACCAGTGGTGGGTTACAACCGGTACAGGTGTACCGATGCCTGCCAAGAGCACCAGGTACCTTTCCAGTATGGTGCTCCAGAGGGCCCACCCACCTACCCGCGCTCCTTACCAGTATTTGAGGTTTTTGGGGCTTCCGCGCACGGAGCATATGACACTTGCACAATGCTCCACTGAGCAGCTGGAGCGTCGCGGGCGGTAAGTACGCATGTGCGTGCACGTTCATGTAGTGGATGCCCAGACCCATTGCACTGTACCAGTTGCAACGGGATCCGGAACCCACTACTGCCTCAAACCCTCCATCCCTCTCATAATCTTCCTTCTCATTCCCTCCCTCCTTCCTTTCTTCAGTCTCATTTTCCTTCATTCTCATTTCCATCTTTCTTCCTTTCTTCTCTCCTTCTCATTCCATCTCTCCTTCCTTCCCTTCTTCTCAGTCCCATTTTCATTCCTTCCTTCCTTTTCATTCCCATCTTTCTTCCCTTCCTTTCTTCCACCTCCTCCCTCCTTTTCCTTCTCCTCCCACACTTATTCCTCCTAACATTTCCCCTTCTTTCTTTCATTCTTCCTTCTTTCCTTCCTCCCTCTCCTCCCTCCCATCCTTCCCCCTTCTCATTGCCATCTCCTTCCCTCCTTCCTTTTTTCCTCCCCTCCTTCTCATTGCCATCTTCCTCCACACTCAGGAAGCAATGAGGGAGAGAGATTGGCAGCGCTGCCGGTAGTGATGCCCACCAGCAGCTGTGGCTTTACTATGTGGAGGCGGGAACAGTACCAATGAAAGGGAAGCCTTGCGTGCTTCAAGGCCAGGGTGGCAAGTGTGCAATGGAGGTGGTGGTGGTTGGAGCAGCACTGAGCTACAATTTGTGATGACCATCTGGACCAGAATGCAGTCAGCCTTAGATCTGACCCACCCCCGGAGCTAGCGAGGGGTCACCCTGCTGCCTCCGTCCTGCCCCCTGGGGCCTGGGCATGTGCACAGGAGACAGCAAGCACTGGTAACCTGGGTGAAAGGGATGCACTCAGAATGCAATCAGCCTGCAGGGCAAGACAGTCCCCAGGGATGCCAGATCCTGTGTGCTCACCACCTGGCAAGGGCCCAGTGGGCCAGGTGGGGATGGTTCCTTGCCAACTCCAGGGCAGCCCTGCAGATCTAAAGCTGACCACGTTCTAGGCCGGATGGCCACCATCAGGTTGCAGATTAGCAGCTGCCCAGCCTGAGGCACTGCAGACCGGTTCTTTGCTGTTTCCAGAGCAGCCCTGTGGACCAGAAATAATCACCTCATGGGCTGAATCTGACTCACAGGCCTTGAGTTTGACACCCCTGAATCACAACTCCCCCTTTAGACTACACAGCATAAAACATTTTCAGCCAAAGTTGTATCATTCCAAGCTGCAACTTGGGCTCTCATCAACAAAGGGCATAATCAGATAGTAATTTCTATCTGGAAAAGAGCCAGTTGCAGTGCTATAATCTTAATTCATTCCTCCCAGTACCTATATTTTTCTGTGCATCCAGATCTCTAATTTATTCAGAATTTTTCTGAATTAATTTTTCTGCATTAATGCATTCATTCATTATGCACAAGGTGACTGGATACTTTGCATTATGAATTTGCAAATATCTTTTTGATATTGAAAAATGAGATACTACATTTAATTGCTTGCAAAATATCCATTAATATATTCTTATGGCCTTCCTTGATCCATTTTTGTTGCTAATACAGGTATTTTCCTTCTATTCAATTGTGTCCAATTTTCAGAGTCTGCCTGGAGCAGTGGTAGTCAACCTGGTCCCTAACGCTCACTAGTGGGCGTTCCACCTTTCATGGTGGGCGGTAGGGGTTTGCTGTAGCTCTGCTTTATAAATTTTATAAAGTAAGGTTACTTCCCTACTTTATAAATCATCATTACAGTGGAACCGGTGGGTGGTTAGGAAATTTTACTATTAACAGAGATACAAAAGTGGGCGGTAGGTATAAAAAGGTTGACTACCCCTGGCCTGGACATAGTGGACAAGTCCCTGCCATTTCTTGGCAAGGTTTTTCAAAAATGATTTGTCATTGCCTCCTTCCTAAAGCTGAGAGGAAATGATGGCCAAAGATCAACCAGCTAGCTTTGTCTTCCGGTTTCTAGACTGATGCCTTAACCACTACATAAAACTGGCTCAGAACTGCTGCACTGTACTTAAAAGGCTGGGATGCTTAAGACAAAAACCAATCACTTGGACTTGGACACTATACAGAGTCTCAAGTCACTTTAAAGATTAGCAAATGTTTTAAATGTAGGATAACATAGCATTAAACTTCAACATAGTTGTCACTATCATAACAGTTTCATTACATTTTCCATTGAGTTCAGTGAGAATTTTAGGAATTGAAGTACAGAAATCTTCAAATTGTCAAATTTGAGAAACACTGGTCTAGACACTTGATATAATTGTAGTCTTGCCAAATTTGGATTATGAACATCAACTATTTTTTTAAATTTTGCAATATAATCTTGCATTTGGTTATTCAGAATTGGCTCTAATGCAGCATCTTTGCACATAAGCGCAAGATCAAATATGCATTATTTGGTCCTAAGTGCCATCTAATGGTTATCATTGGAATTTCACGTTTTTATAATCGGTGAAGGGTTGCAGAACATGCGCCAAAAGCGAAAGAAGAATATTAGGGTGCTGGGAAGGAGCTATTATTGTCATTAATCTTCGGACTGAATGAGAAATCGATTGCACTTCAACATATGTTTAATCGCCGATCCAATTTCTTGGGAAAATAATAAATTTAAATAGCAACCTGGTTGCAGAAAGGGAAGGGGACCGGAGGCAAAGAAAAGGGATAAAATATCCCGGAAGCGAACATTTACTTTTTTCAAATATGGCTAGTTGAAACTGTCACTGAACATTTTTTTTTCTTCTAATCGCTGTACTTCCCTCAAGTGAATCAAAAGAAAGCGCCGCAAAATGTGAGGCTGAAGAGTTCTATCACCCGGGCAACATTTATCACAAACATTCTAGAAGTCCCGCCCCTTTCGTGATTCTGTTGTATTCGCCGCTGCCGCTAAGGCAACAATCCATTAGCAAACATGTCCAAAAAGCAGGGGCAAACATGGCAGGCACTTTCTCCGCCTTTCCCTTCGGATGGGAGGTGGACTCCGGCGCGCTGGTACCCCCCGAAGTCCGCCGACAAGACTGGAGACTGACAAGCAGTGGAGTGGGGCTCAATTACAGCCCATTATTGCCTTTCCCGCCGCCCTATGCGCTAGTAAGCAAGCTAATTTTTAGCGGGGTAGCTGACACAATCCGGATTATTTGTAAACATTAAGGCTTGGAAATGAGGAGGGTAAGATCCCTGGGTTCTCCGCGAGAGGGCCGGAATGACACCAAAATAGGACGCGGGATTCTTTTAAGGCAGATCCACGTGATCCCCCTGTTTTATTGTTCATTCTGTGTACTCACTGTTCCTCCTAAACTTTATTATTAGTCCACGATCCAGGAACCGTTGCCACCTGCCTCCCAGAAAATATGGCGGGACGAAGTCATTCCCCGGCTGGCTACCACTGCACAACTTGCCCACTGCATGAAAACTCAAAGGGAACTGCTAGCTCAACCCCGCTACTCTGTCGCTGCCTCATATCAGGACGTCCACTACAATAAAGATTTGAGAGAAAAGGTAAGTGGTTCTGAGGGAGTTTTGGCAACTAAGGTGCTCTTCAGAAAGTGTTTTGAGAAAACATTAAGAAGCAGATTTCTGATTTTGCTCGATAATTAGTTAAGATCCTATCTGGTTTCCAGGAAGACCTCTAATGCAGCAGGATGAACAGCCTGATAGTGATATCAATCAGCCCCAGAAGGAAGAGCTCTGGGAACACACTTATATTATTAGCTTTGCTTTTTCCTCTTCCTCCTGACCCCTTTTCCTTTGAGCAAAACTCTTTTATTGCAACCCTGAAGGCAGAGCCTACATCTTTATCAAAACAGTACTGTATTTTCCCTACATGCTTTTTTCAACTTTCCAAAACAAAAAAATGGAAGTCTGAAACAAAACAAAACATTACCATAAACTCTGGAAGGAATAGGTGATAATAACAAAATGCAATAGGCCAAAGATATTTTGCCACCAAAAGTAAAATCAAATTGCAAATTACCCAAGGCTACTCTGGCATATGAAGTTAGAGCATCTCACAACCTTCCTTTTTATAACTTTTTATGTTACATTCTATAATAAAGTAATATCTTCTCTCATAAATGATTACCAGCCAATGATGACTGTAGGGACAGAGGTAATTTGTGAATAACACAAATAACTTTTCTAATTTGAATAATAAAGATTTTTAAAAAACCAACACTTAACATGAATAGAATCAACACAGATAATCTTAGAAATAAGCAATTTCTCCACTCACTCCCCAGCCTTAGGACCAGTAATAATTGTCATTAGGTCAAATCATCTGTCTTTCTGCTTTTTTAATATAATTTCTAAAATTAGTTTCACAAAATATGAAAAACTAACACCAACTAATAAAATGCAGAAACAGGAAAGAATAAAAAAGTGAAAGTGTAGAAAGAAAGAATAAAAAAACAAATACAAAGAAGTTTTCAATTTCTTTTACAGAAATATTACATTTACAAAATTCTCTCTTACTCTGATTACAAAAATCCTGCCTTTTTCTATTCTTTTTGTGTAATCATCAAAACCACAAAATCACCTATACATTTTTTCTGTTTCAGGCAAAAAAATAAATGGTTTCTAGTCCACCATAAATGTAGTTATTTTTCTCTAATTTGTCAAAAATAAAAATAGCACTGTAAAAATTAAAGATCGTTCCTTAGTCATTGAAATCTTTCATAGGTCCTCTCTTAGTTTTTTGCAAATCTTTAAATCAAAGTCTCTCTTGTATTTCTGTAGTCTGGAATGTCTTCAGCTGTAATTGATTAGTTCTTAAAGTGATTAAGAGATGGGGAGAGTAAGACTGTAAAGTCTCTAGCGGCTCCACTGTAGTTAGAAGTGTAGATGAAATTCTAGGATTCCCAGCAGCTCAACTCCTGATCTGGCTACAAAACCTTTTTTGTTTCTACAGTTTAATTAAAAGGAGCTGCCATCCAGAACTAATGTAGTTAATATCTCAATCTCCCCTTGATCCAGGGAGATAAAAGCCATCTAGAAATCATCTCCCAGCTGGCTTTCAAAGGCTACAGCAGTGCTCCTCACTTTGGAAAGTATCAAACTGTCACTCCTCAAAGGAAGCAACTCACCTGTCCTTTTACTATATGTTCTGTTTTCTGGACTCTCAACCTGCTCTTCTCACTGACAGATAAAGCTTAGAGAATGGAGGTTCCCCTTGACTATGGGCAACCAGAAGAGTGAGATCCAAGCAAATTTTCGTGGTTGGCCCAATCTGCCGCACGACCCTACCTTTCATGCTGGGCCTCAGCCATTCAAATTGGCAGCTCATCACACAGATGGAGCATCCAAGGTATCTTGAATTCCAGGGATAAAGGGATACCTTTTCCCCCCTGAACTCATTTTTTCTTGCCAGTCAGGATCTCCAAATAAAGGATGTCATGCACATTTGTGAAGTTTTCTTGCACATGTGTCTCTATCTTTTTGATACTGTTGAATGTTTAATGCCATTTAGGCTCTTGTCAGATCTATTTGCAGCTTGTGTACACTGGAGGCACAAAAACTAGGAGTGGCCTAGGAGAAGGGATGACTTCCGATTCACAGAGGAACAGCCTCCGGAGGAAGCTGGATAGCAGAACATTGATAGACTCTATTAGTTTATCTGATAGGGACAATAGATAGCTATTTAAATTTCCCATAAGTCTACTAAGGGAATTGTGGAAATTTTAAAAAACAGTTGTCACGGGGGAGGGAATTAGATGCCCTTGCTAATTGTTGCTGGGCCTGACTGAAGTGTCGCTTTCTTAAAGATGTCTCCTGGAGCAGAGAAAATGTTGCATAGCAAATTCAGAACATCCTCTCCAATAGCGGTCTTTATTCTTTTCACTTTAGGCGGTGGTAGCCACTACGCAAAACAACAACCTCGCTGGAAGACCCTTCTACATCTGTGACAAGACAGTGTTTCAGCTTAATGAACCCTACTTATCTACCACTGCTCAGGACTTCCGAATCTTCACACAGTTAGTGGAACATCTGTAGTATCTTTTCCCCATTCCTTCAAAGCCATATATATAGTCAACTTAAGAACACAATGAAGGCCAGAATTTCAGTCATAAATCATTGTGGTTGTTTAAGGGTCTCAGTGATACTACTAGCTTTCATAACACCTTCAGAATCTGTATTTCACAGTAAAGGTAATTCTTAACTTACAACCGTAATTGGAACTGGATTTTGGTTGTAATTCATTAGTTATTAAGTTGATGTATCTATGCGACCAGACCCAATTTTATGACTTTTTTTACAGCACTATAGCAATAGCAGTTAGACTTATATACTGCTTCATAGGGCTTTCAGCCCTCTCTAAGCGGTTTACAGAGTCAGCATATCGCCCCCACAGTCTGGGTCCTCATTTCACCCACCTCGGAAGGATGGAAGGCTGAGTCAACCTTGAGCCGGTGATATTAGAACCGCTGAACTGCAGATAACAGTCAGCTGAAGTGGCCTGCAGTACTGCACCCTAACCACTGCGCCACCTCGGCTCTCATTAAGCTGCACTTGTTAAGCAAACTTTATAGTCATAAGTGTAAATCCATTCTTTCCACTGGGAGTTTTTGCCAGACAACAAGCAAAAAAAGTTGTAAATCGTGGATCAAATGACTATAGGTTAGGATTATGCATGCCAACAGTCAAGACTACAAAACATCTGTCTGAACCTGTCATAATTTTAAATGGTTGTTAAATTATTGGTTGTAAGTCATGGACTACCTCTATTAATTGCTGGGGAGTAAAGTGGGAGGCACTTTAAGTTCTTCAAAACAGTTGGAAAAAGGAAACTGGGCTCCCTAGGATTTTGCTTTGACAAAGCTGTACTTTTGTATTTCTATTTTTGCTAATCTGAATTTTTGCAATCTCTTCATTAGCCCATGGAGAGAAGTGTCACTTTAATCACGGTTAGGTTCGATTTGCCAATTGCGCAAAATATGCTAATTTGATCAATATATAAGTATGACAACAATTGAGCCCAAAATTTCCATAGCTAAGTATTATTGCTTAGCTACGTATTGTTAAGTATTATCCTATTTTATGACCTTTCTTGCCACAGTTGTTAAGTAAATTGCTATGGTTCTTAAGTTAGTAACATGGTTATTAAGTAAATCTGGATTCTTCAATGATGTTGCTTGTCAGAAAGTTGAAAAGGATGATCACATGACTCTAGGACATTGCAACAGTCAGAAAGTTATTCCAGTTGTCAAGGGTCCAAATTTTGGTCATATGAAAAATGGTCATAAGCCACTTTTTTGTAATTTTGTACAGTCATTAAATGAATTTTGTACAGTCATTAAATGAATGATTATAAGTTGAGAACTACCTGTATCTTGTTTTGCTGAATTCATCCTACCTATGCTAGTCTATAACCATAATACATTTTGATTCATCCTATTTATTTAACGAGGAAAAGGTGAGGAGCTCTCAATCTCTCTACTACCATAAAAGCTCATAAAACCTATAATTTTAGTAGACATCATCCAGTTTCACTGAAGTCATAGAGACTAGAAATATTTCCTTTTTGAAATTAAAGATTAGTTTCTTAGGAAGTTGAATTCTAAGTTTAGAGCTGTATTTAATGCCCTCAAAGCAGCACATACAAACTTGAGCAGAATTGATTCTTGCATTGTCATATATAAAGAAAACAAGCATCTCCAGAGGTAACCTCTGGAGTGAAATAAATATCCCTTTCTTGTCCTCTTGTAATTTAATCTCACTTCTTACATAACATTGCACATATTTCCTGCTTTTGTCTATCTTCCTTTTTTTGGTTCTGTCTCCATAGGAAAGAACTTCAAGGGTGTACTCGGAAGCAAATTCTCAATTTGGATACTTACCCTCTGATTCGTGTACCTGGACCTATGCGGGATCTTCAGACGTTTCCAAAGGCTACCCGGGTGCCCCACCTGATCCTGAACCCAGCTGTACCTCACCGAGGTTTATTCAGCCTGGCCCAAGAAACCTACCAACTCCCCAATGACCACAAGCGTACCTGGGATCGATTCTGTCCTGTGCAGCAGCCACCTAAAGTTTCCTGCCGGGTGCCTGTGGTGGAAATCATGTGTGTGCCACACATGTATGAGACAGAGTATAAATGCTATGGAAGTGGAAAACCTATGCCAGTGTGAGATGGACAGAGATTTGCACTCCTTCACTATTCACTTTCTCCTACTTCATCCAAAAAGAAATATATATATATATATATAT